GAGCATTTCCTTTGAGCATCATGTTAAGAGTTCAAAAAGTGTTGGATTTTGGAGCATTTTGGAGTTTCAGATTTGGGGTGCTCAACTTGTATAAACTCAAGAGAAATAACAACATAGGTCCCCACAAAAACATGCATATGGATGTTCACAGCAGCACTATTCAAAATAACCAGAAATGAGAAACACCAAATGTCCACCAGGGGGTGAATGAATAAATAAAGTACATTCTATCCATACAATGGAGTATTATTCAGCTGCAAAAAAGTATGAAATACTGATACATGTACTACATGGACAAACCATGAAAACATATGACGCAAAAGAAACCAGACATTGTGTGATTCCATTTCTACTAAATGTCCAGAATAGGAAACTCCATCGAGGCAGAAATCAGATTTGGGATTGCCTAAGCCTGGGGATAGTGTGGGAAATGGGGAGTGACTGATAACAGGTATAGGTTTTAGGGCATGAGGATAATGTTTTACATACACACACACACACACACATACACAACAGTTACAGAGGAAACTGGGACAAAGCAGCTGGGACAAAAACTATTAATGACTCCAAGAAACACAAAAAGTTGGACACTACTTGATCAGGCATTAACAATGTTTACGTAATCAGCTAGGCACGGTGGCCCACGCCTGTAATCCTAGCACTTTGGAAGGCCAAGATGGGCGGATTGCCTGAGCTCAAGAGTTCGAGACCAGCCTTAGCAACATGGTGAAACCCCGTCTCTACTAAAATACAAAAAAAAAAAAAAAATTCCGCTGGGTGTGGTGATGGACGCCTGCAATCTCAGCTACATGGGAGGCTGAGGCACGAGAATTGCTTGAACCCAGGAGGCAGAGGTTGCAGTGAGCTGAGACTGTGCCACTGTACTCCAGCCTGGGCAACAAAGTGAAACTTTGTCTCAAAACAAAACAAAACAAACAAACAAAAAACCAATGTTTACAAAATCATAATATGGCAGACAGGAACTGCTGATTTAACCAATAAACAAACCAAACAAAACAAGACGATTTAGAAAGCAAGCAGGCATAACGTCCACCTCCACTGCGGCTCCTCTGCACGCGAGGAACTGCCTTCTCTCAATGCCTCTGTCACCTGCCCCTGAACTGGAGATGAGCACAGGACACGTGACCCCTGACCCGCCTCTGAGAGCAGAAAAGGGGATGTGCAGAGACCAGAAGGGACATCCTGGCAGATGCTCCCTCCCTCTCCGCCGGGATCCCAGGAGTCCTGTTCATTGGAATGAAAGTATCTGCATCAAGGGATCGTTGTCAGGCAGCACATAGAAGTTCCCAGTAACTGAGCACTGTTTAAAAATAATAATAGCCAGGCGAAGTGGCTCACACCTGTAATCCCAGGACTTTAGGAGGCTGAGGCAGGAGGACCACTTGAGCAGTTTGAGACCAGCCTGGGCAACATAGCAAAATCTCATCTCTATAAAAAATACAAAAAGTAGCCAGGAGTGGTGGCACGTGCCTGTAGTCCCAGCTACTCGGGAGGCGGAGGTGGGAGGATCGCTTGAGCCCAGGAGGTTGAGGCTGCAGTGAGCTATGCTCGTGCCACTGTACTCCAGCCTGGGAAACAGAGTGAGATCCTGTCTCAACCAATGATAATAATAATAATCATATCCTAACCTCTACCAGCACTACTACTTTGAAAACAAAGCCGGCCCCAGAGCTCCATAGAGCAGGACAGTGGGGACACCTGGTGGCCGGGGAAGCCCCTGACGCTTGTCCCAGCAGGATCCGTGTCTGGACTTTCCTGCCCCTTGCACAGACCCTGCTACCTCTGAGCACCCAGCGGAGTTCCCAGTTCAGCACCAGCGTCCAGTGGAGCCCTGGCCTTTCTCTCCAGACAGCAGCCTCCTGCTCTGACTGTCTCCAGTCTGGCCCTGGTGCCACTGACTCCCTGCCTCCTGACCTCAGCCCATGCCTTCCATCCACCTCTTTCTTCCATCCGAGCCCTGCCTTATTGCTCCTGCCCTCTGAGATCTTTCTCCGAAGCTCCAGCTGGCAACAACTCCACACCCCTCTGTCCTTGTCCTTGTCATCATACAGCTACGTCCTCACCAGCACCTGCTGTATGCCAGGCACCATGCCCAGCTGCATCACTCTGTCCTTCCCGCAACAGAGCCTGAGGCAGTAGGGATGGTTATTACCCATTTTGCGGAAAAGGGAACCAAGGTTCAGAGTGGTGACAGACTTTCCCAGCCTGGGTGATGGAGGAGTCAGCGTTTAAACCCAGCACCCGGGCTCTTACCCACGACTCTGCCCCCGATGGAGAAGCCACTCCTTGCTGCTGCAAAAGGATGCCGGAGCGCAAATGTGAGACCACCTAAGAGCACCCGGGCCACCTGCTTCAGCGACAGCTCAGAGAGGGAAGAGATGAGCCCTGGCCACAAAGGAAGCTGTGGGCAGAGCTCTCTAGGACCCAGGCCTGGGACAGATCCTCAGAAAAGGGAGATCCTTGGGGCCACACAACCCTCTGGCCACCCAAGAAGAAAGATGAACCACCCGTGAGACCTGAGCCCTCACCTGCCAGCCGGAGCCCCCAGGCCCCAATGTGTGTGGCTGTGTCTGATCAGGATGGACAGTGTCCGGCTGCACAAGGCTGCCACACCTAGGGAGCTTCCTGAGCAGATGGAAATGGGCTGCACAGGTGGCATGCACCCAAGACAAGGCCCCCTGCAGGTGGGTCAGGCCACAGCAGGTGGGCAGGTCAGGGCCGGCGGCCTGGCTCCTTCTTCAGATTCACACCAACTGGCCAGCGGCAGCCTCTGGAAGGGCCAACTTCTGGGCACCTGCACATGGCCAGGTGTCAGAGGAACATGAGGGGCTCTGTGCGAAGCCCCATATCTCCATTTTTCTCCTACCAGGTCTCGGAGCTGCCGGGGCTGGTGGCCCTTTTCCTGTGCTCTTGTACCAGAGGCATGCTGGGATCTGGACTGGCTTTGTAAGTAACACCCCCTAGCTTTGCTTGAATCTTGACATAGACAAGAGGAGGCAGCTGCAGGGACCTAGGCCAACTCTGCCTTGCTTCTTCCCTGGAAAGGCATCTCAAAGGCAGGCCTTGGGAGGAATTAGGGATGGAGGATGGAGCCACAGTCCTGGGCTTGGTGGACACTCTGTGGCCACCCTCCCTGAAGTCCCAGGACACAGCTCTGCACGCCCTCCAGGAGCCCACTGCAGCCTGAGCACGACCCCTGGTGGCCACCTATGGGAAGAGGCTCTCCCCAGGGACCCGGAGCCGGGGAAGAGGTCTCAGCACTCAGCTCTGACACCCACCGTGTGACTACTCTTAGTCCCTAACCCGGCACGTGGCACCAGCCACCCGCAGTGAGCGCTTGCTGGAGTTAGACTCATTCTATGAATAAGGGGTCCTGAGTCCAGTGGGGCGTGGCTTGCCAGTGCACTGCAGTCAGAGGCAGGAGCCCACTGGGACCGGCTCCATTTCCCCACCCTCTTCATCGCCCTGGTCTATGAAGCAACCAAGCCTGGCACCTCCCCGGTGACCACAGGGAAACCAGGCTGGCAAAGGGTGGTGATGGGTAGCCCCTAGGGACGAAGCTCCCAGCTCAGGGGCCCAGGCTTCCCTCTCACTGGCCCTGACCCTAAACAAGGGCAGTCTGTTCTCACATTGACTCTGCCCCACAGCCTCTGGCCCTGGCTATCTGAACAGCCTGCAGGTCCCGACTGCCATGCATGCTCTGTGCACGCTTCTTGTCCACCACGCCACCCTCAAGAGCCTCACCTAGATGCAGCCGCCTCCTCCAGGGAGCCTCCCCTCGTCCACTAGGGCTGGGAATTCCTATAGCCCCTGCGTCCCCATCAGAACCCTTATCAGCATGTTCTGGAATTGCACGTATACTTGTCTGTACCTCCCAACTCTACCCAGCAAGAATTAGATCTCTGTCTGTGTTATGGCCACAGCTTCTAAAATCGGGTCTGAAACACCGAGCTCACCCCATCAATGTCTGATGCAGGGAGGGTTTGATGGAATGTGAACGGTTGGATTAATATGTAGGTAGATGCTGGAGGAAGGGCAGAGGGAGAGATGTGTGGCTAGAGGGAGGGAGGGAGGGAGGGATTGATGTGTAGAAGGTTGAGTGGGTGGGTGGATGGAAGGATATATGAAAGAAGGGATGGACAGGTGAACATGTGGATAAATAGATGAATAGATGGATGGAGAGATGGAGGAGGGAAGAATGGATGGAGAGATGGCAAGATGAATAGAGGGAGGGAATGAGTGGAGGGAGGAATGGACGAAGGGAAGGGAGATGGGTAGAGGGATGAGGGAATAAATAGGAGAAGGCGTGGATAGATACAGGAGTAGATGGATGGAGAGACAGATGGAGAGACGGAGGGCTGGACAGAGAGAGGAATGAGTAAGGGAGGGTCACTTGATGAATGGATGGAAAGAGGGCAGTCAGTAACAAAGTGGCAGGAAGCTCCCAGCCACCACCATGGGAGGGAGGGGTTGAGGACAGGAGAGAAGAGAGAAGAGAGGGCAGGAGGCACCCAGGTGCCAGCAGGTGCACCCAGGCCCCCAACCTCCCTTGGCAGAAGGCTCTCAGAGGTTCTTCATGCCAGGAACCAGCACCCTCTGAGACAGGCACCCCAGGCACACTGGGAGCGTGCAAACATTTGGGGCTTCCCTGAAACTCCTGGGCACAGAACATGACAAAAAGCTAGGCCTCCTGCACCATGCAGGACAGGCTGGGCTGCGTTCTGGGCATCAAGGAGAGGCCAGGCCCTGAGGAACAAGGGGGTCAGCCCCATCAGGGATACCCCTGTGCTCCCTAGTTTAATCTTCACACCACCTGGAAACACTCCGTGTTACAATCCCCATTTCACAAATGAGGTGACTGAGGCTTGGGGCAGTGAGGGAACCCACTAGGGTCGCACCACCTGGGTTCAAGCTGGGATTCAGAGCCAGGTCGCTGTGCCCCCCACAGACTGACACAGAACCTGGGGCTGTCCACCTACCTGAATCCCCTCGATGCGCTCGGTGACGACATAGGCATGGTGCATGGCCACCAGCGGGACCTTGACTCCAGCCATCCGGCCCACAGCACTTGCCCACACTCCTGCGGGCAGAGCACAGACAGCTCAGCTCTGCTGACACCTGGTGGGAGCTGCCTCTCAGGTGTGCACAGGCTGCCTCTGCAGACCTGTCTGCCCTAGCAGGGGCTCCCCACCCCAGAAAGAAGCCCTACAGAGGTGGGAGCAGGTTTAGGGAGCAGCCAGCATGGCCACACAGGAGTCAGGAGAAATGCTATTCCCACCTGCACAGTTGACCACGCAGGGCGTCTGGATGGAACCGTGTGGAGTCTCCACACCTGCAACCCGCCGCACCCCAAAATCATCTGTCCACACACGAATGCCGGTCACTGGGCAGTTCTCAATGACCTGGGATTGAGAGGAACTGCTTCTAAAACTCCATGGGACTCCCTGGGGGAGTTTACCAACCCCCCTTCAACCAACCTCTCCTCCCAGAGGGGAGCTGGGGACACTGTTTCTGCTAGCAGCAGGTCCCCTGTGATACTATCAGGGAAACGGGATGACCACAGCACCAGAAAACTAGACCCACCCATGCCTCGACTTGGAGAACTTGAAAGTTGATCAAGTTCTTTCACTTGACTTGTTTGGGGGAACCCTCTTTTCATAATGTGAAAAAGTAACTGACTTTTTTTTTTTTAAAGCAAGATATTTGATTAATGGAAGGATGTTTGCAGTCTACTGTTTGGTTAAAAAAAAAGTCATAAAACAACAGCAGTTTGGTTCTATTTTGCATACATATATATTTTCATAGAAAAATATTTGGAGTAAAACATACTAAAATGTCAATACTAGTTACTGCTGGGTGATTTTGACTTCTTTTTTGCTTATGTGTCTTCTTAAAATTGTTCTACAAAGATGTGCAGAGTTGAGATAAATGTAGATACAAATTACAAGAAGGGCTTTTGAGACAATTTGCTTGTGCAGCAGAGGAATGGGTGCACCCACGGCATGACCTGATGTCTGTGAACAGACCGAAGGCATAGCCTCCCCTTAGCAGGGGTGGACCAGAAGGCTCAGAGAGGTCCTCACTGGCCCCAAGTCACACAGCAGTCAGAGAATGGCTGCTGTTCTCTTGCCTTCTGCTCTCAGGGTTCTAAGGCAGGAGGAGTGGGCTGGGAGCAGGGGACCCAGAGCCGGGGGGCCGTCAGTACCTGTGCTCCTCGGGCAGAGGCTGCCCTGGCGAGGGTGCTACAGGTGCCAGCCGGGTCCATAGTACCGTCGTGGGGCACATACAGGGTTCCGTAGAGGTCGTCCACGTTCATCAGCGGGTACAGAGTCTTGGTCTCTGCCGGGCTCAGCACATGGGATTCCACACCATACGCCTTGCCCAGCTGGGAGGACCCAGGGAGATTAACTGAGTCTGTGGGAAACAGACCGCTGGGCCACTCCCTCCCCAGCTGGGCATCCACCGCAAACCCCAGCCTCACTTTCTCCCAGAAGCCTTAGCCGGTCCCCACGGCTTCGGAGCCTGTCCCTTGAATCTGCTTCAGCATAAGAGTTAAGGAGCAGGGGATACTCCATTGAAGCAGGCTCCAGGGCCAGTCCCCCTGTGCCAACCCGACCCTCACCAGCTGTGTGACCAACCTGGGGCAAAGTCGCTTCAGGCTCACCCAAGTGAAGTGGGGGTGAGAATAGTGTATGTCACTGACCAAGAACTTAGACCAGTGCCCGGCACAAAGTGTCTATTATATAAAATAAATAACCCCACAAGTCTAATACTTTAGGCCTGAGAAGTTTCCCAGTCAGACCAGCTGCCAAGAAAGACGAAGGTCCTCAGTTTCAGAGTGTCAGATAGACCACGCCCCCACATTGATTGCCCCAAGAACAGCCAGTCAGTGTCCTCAGGCGTGGACCACTGGGAGGGAAGAGCTGAGCCAATCAGATTCCCTGTCTGGGAATTCTGAATGAAGCCTGGCAAAGTCACTTTCTCCAGGTGGCACAGCCAGCAAGGGGCAGCGCTAGGGCTGGAACCCAGATCTGTCACCTGCCGGGGCTCCTTCCCTGTGGCATGTCCTCTCTCTCGTGGCAGAACGGTGCCCACCGACATAAGCCCCACCCCCGACCCCGCAGGAGGCAGACTCATCCACACAAGCCCCCCACCCCCAGCCCCTCACGGGATGCGCACACGGACATGAGCCCCCCGTACCTCCATCCTCACAGGGAGCCCACCCTACCCCCAACAGGGCGTGCACTCACCAATATGACCCCCCAGGGAGTGCACCTCCCCACCCAAGTCCCCCTCTTTGCCCCCCGCAGGGGAGCACACACCGACATGAGCCTCTTGTACTCGTCCAGGCGCTGCCGGTTGGACGCGATGAAGAGGCCCCCGTTCTGGATCCAGCCCGTGTGTAGTCCCGTCTCCTCCTCCAGCTCCCGGCTCACCACACGCCGAGTGTGGGCCAGAAGCTCCACCTCCACGTCACTGGGCCGCAGCTGCCACAGCAAGCCTGCCCAGGAGGGTGGGTGCCATTACTCCCCAGGGAGGGGACTGCACCTCCTTCCCCCCTACGAATATCTGGAGATACCCTGATATTCAACCATGGGTGTCTTTCTCTGCAGGGTCTTTCTCTGCAGGCCCTGGGGGGCCTGGAGAGGTTGTTGAGCAGGAAATAACGGGACCAAGATGAATGTGAGGGAGGTCTCGCCCTTGGGCAGCTCAGAGAGTGACATAGCAAAGGCCCCCATTTTTGGAGCACCTACTGTGTGCCAAGCCCCGTGCTAAGCCTGTCGTCCTATGAGGAGGGCATGATTCTCTTATCGATCAAGTTCAAGTGGCACCAACAGTTCTGTGGCCAAGGTCACAGAGCAGGTGAGTGGGGGCACCAGGACACCAACCCACTACTGAATGAAGCCTAAATCTGCACTCTTCCCAACAAAGGCTGCCCTCCAGCAGCAGAGTCTGAGAGGTGGCAGGCCAGGGGTGTGACTGATGAAGTGTCAGGGAAGGGGCTATGACAGCCCAGCTAGGGGCCGGTGAGAAGGCAAGAGCAAGGGTTGGAGCCGTGGCATGTGGGAGCCGGCTCGCATCAGCTCTCAGGAGCCCGGGGATAAACCTCTTCCCAACTCCACAGTCAGTGACCTCGTACTGGTGGTTTGCTATTGGCCAAGGTGGGAGTGTTTATACCACAGAAATTGGCCAACACTGCAAGTCAGGAGATCCCGTTTACCAGGACACCCATGGTTGAAAGGGTGAAGGCAGAAGGTTGGCTGTCCTGGGACATGCACACCATAGGTGCTTAATACATGCCCACTGGTTAGTTAGGAGAATGAGAACTGTAGAAGCCTCTGGTGCTCATGGAGGACACAGGTCTGCTTCACCCCTAAAGGTCTCCATCTGTCCTCCTCCACTCCCTGGGATGCCCTCAATCCTGGTGGCTCTGTCCGGGAAAGGGGCTTCTGCTCTCTGGACCAGCTGCCTGGAGTTTCCGGCCTTGGTCCCAGCTTCACTCTCCAGGCCACACAAGCAGCATCTACTTCCTCCTCCCACCACAGCTCTTGAGAGACTTGGAGGGCAAGCAGTACCCCCAGCTCCACCCATCTGCAAATTGGCCAAGCACTCTTCCCCAGGGTCTCTTCCCCAGGCTGGTGGTTGTGAACCCTGAACTGTCTCAGCTAGCAAGGGACTGTGGCCCCTCGCTATGTCCTATCCCTCCCTGGCCCTACCTGGCCCCTGGTCCCTACCTGCCGTGTGCCAGGTGGTCCCGGAGGTCAGCCGCTCCCGCTCCAGCAGCACCGCCCCACTCATGCCCAGCTTGGCCAGGTGGTACAGAGTCTGGCAGCCCAAGCTGCCTCCACCAATGACCACCACGTTGGCTGTGCTGGGCAGGGGTCGGCTCGGGCCTTGGGCCACCACCGAGGTGCCTTGTCCCTCCTTCAGGGTCCGCTGATACGGCACACTCTTCTCGGCTGTGGGGCCAGATGCGCTGGACAGGTTGCATGGCCCCAGGCCCCGGGTAGGGCTCTGGCGAGGGCAGGCAGCAGCCACACGTAGGGCTCGGCTCAGTGAGGCCATGGGGGCTCCGGGCCTCAGCACAGCAGGGAGCTGGGGAGAGAATCAGAGCTGGGTGGGGTGCAGAGGGGACATGGTGGGGGCTGTGCTGAGTACCCAGGGGAATAAGGGCCCTACGGTATTACCTCCCAGGACTTTCCTCCTGCCGCTTCCCCGTGTCATGCATGCATTCATTCATTTATTCATTCATTCATTCTGTGTGTATTTTTAAGGACCTGGTATGCAGCAGGCTCTGTCAGTGCCTGGGGCAACCATGGTGAGGATAGGTCTCTGCCAGCCCACAGAAAAGACAGGGAGCGCCAAGCTCTGGGTAGGAGTGGGGGTCGGGGCCATAAGGGGAGGCAGAGAAGAGTGGTTGATGTGGCTGGCAGAGGTCCAAAGTGAGATCTGAAGAAAGCGGGCTGCCCCGTGAGGCCGGGCAGGGAGGACGGAGAGGGGACTGAGGACAGAGGACCGATAGCTGGAAAGGAGGAGCTCTGGTCTCAGGCACGCTCACCCCCAGGTCGCAGACAGTGAGAGGCCAGGGCTGGGAGGGGGCCGTCCCGCCAGCCTCGAGAGCCCTTTCAGAGCTCAAGATGCTTCTGAGGGACCATGCAGCCCTGGCAGCCCACAGGTCTGTGCTGAGGCAGACCCCAGGTCCTGTGGTGTGGGGATGGGACCTGGGGGAGTGCCCAGAGAAGGCGGTGGTGGTGGCACAGCAAGGCAAGGCAGGGGCTGTGTTGAGGGATGGAGTCAATTGCACTCCCAGACAGAGAGCCAGGAGGCAGAGTCACTGTGGACGCTACAGCAGTGGCCACAGGGTATCAGCAGACAGCCTTGAGATGGGGCACCCAACCCCCAAGCCTGGAGCCAGTGCCTCCTCCTGGGCAGGCCCCTCCCAAACCCAGACAAGAGGTGTTGCCCCCTCTTCAGCCCCAAAGCTCGGTGGGACCTAAGGCAGAAGCTGATGAAGGATGTGGTGTCTGGGCTCTGCTCCCTTGGGGCCACTGGGATTGCAGAGTAGGGGCTCAGAAGCTAGGTTAACAGGCCTTCCTCCCCTCTGCTCCATCCCAGCTGACCTACCCCAAATCCCTCCTCCTCCTTCAGGAAGCCCTCCCAGATCTCCCCAGCCAGAAAAATCCAGTAACAATGAGAATGCAAGAGGGAGCCCTCCTTCTCAGGAGAGAAGGCGCTGATGAAAACGGATGTCTCCTTGGGTGCGGGTGACGCAGGACAGGCAGTCAAAGCAGTCGTCATGTCCGGGGGACGCAGCAACCGTGGTGACTGCGCAATCAATACAATCAGCCTCCACGTTTGCGTTGTAACTGAGCTCGTTCAAGCAAAGCTGTCTGCAGTAGGGCTTTTCCCTTGGAGAGGGCATGCCCACATTGATTGCACCTGTCCTCAAACTGACCCCTTTGTTCATTCTAATAGTAAAAAACACACCCCTGGGTGGAGATTTTAAGATGCTAATGAGGCCGGGCTGGGGGGCTCATGCCTGTAATCCCAGCACTTTGGGAGGCCAAGGCAGGCGGATCACCTGAGGTCAGGAGTTCCAGACCAGCCTGACCAACATGGAGAAACCCCCGTCTCTACTAAAAATACATTAGCCAGGTGTGGTGGTGCATGCCTGTAATCCCAGCTACTCAGGAGGCTGAGATAGGAGAATTGCTTAAACCTGGGAGGTGGAAGCTGCAGTGAGCCAAGACTGCGCCATTGCACTCCAGCCTGGGCAACAACAGTGAAACTCCGTCCCAAAAAAAAAAAAGATGCTAATGAGACATGTGACGTTTGAACAAGCATGTACAGCTACCTCATGTGCACCCAGAGGACCCGCCATCACATGTTTCCTAGTAACCTCTCTTTCCGCCCGCTTATGAATAATTGTGGAAGACTCCCTGAAAGGGGGTTTCTCCAGCAATGGTCAACGCTGCCTCACCCTTAGGAGCAGTCCCCCCAAATCCTCTCTCTCCCAGGGTGCTGCACTGTCTTTTCCGCACCTAACTTTCAAAATGTTCTTTTTCCTTTGCAATAAATCGCTCTATGCTGCAGCTCTTTTGCTGTGTGTCTCATGTTTAAATTCTTTTTTTTTTGTTTGTTTGTTTGTTTTTTTGAGAAAGGGTCTCACTCTGTCATCCAGGCTGGAGTGCAGTGGCACGATCTCGGCTCACCGCAACCTCTGCCTCCTGGGTTCAAGCGATTCTCTCGTCTCAGCCTCCTGAGTAGCTGGGATTACAGGTGCATGCCACCAGGCCTGGCTAATTTTTGTATCTTTAGTAGAGACAGGGTTTCACCATGTTGGCTAGGCTGGTCTCAAACTCCTGACCTCAGGTGATCCGCGTGCCTCGGCCTGCCAAAGTGCTGGGATTCCAGGCATGAGCCACTGTGCCCGGCCTAAATTCTTTAAACTAAGAAGTTAAGAACCGAGGTCTCACAACAGCCATCAATGGAGGGGTGGGGTGGTGTCCTGCGCAACGTGGACCTCCACTGCCCTTTTCTGGGATCTACAGGAAAAGTGAAAGGGATGTGGCTGTGATCCGAGGTGTGGAGTGCTGTGCCACCTACATCAGTATGAACGATTGATGTAATTAGCTGAGAAAGTCAGCCTCGTTTTTCAAGAGTGGACCATATGCTATGCACGTTCGTTCACTCTCGTTGAACACCTATAGACACATACTTCACAGCGGGGGAGTCTGACACATGGAGAGGCTCCCTGAGGTGACCAGGGTCACAGGGCCTCCATGTGGCCGTGCCAGGGACTCTCTCCTGCCCCCTCTTCTGACCATCCCAGGGGGACTCAGGACCCACTGCCACACCCTGTCCCACCTGAACTGTGGGCACTGCCCAAGCCTGACGAGGTGCAGAACCCTGTCCTAGGTACAGTGGGGGATGTGAGGGGGATCCCAGCTCTCAGGCAGGTCAGGGCGGCCCTCCCATCCCCTGCCCCAGCGCCCTGTCCCCAGGGAGGGAGCAGGGAGTCTGCTCGGAGTGGCGAGGGGAGTGTGGAGGGGTTGGAGCTTGTCCTCAGCCTCTCAGCCCTCAGTGTGTCAGCCTGTCTGCCTCCTGCCTGCAGAGGTGGCCCCAGACAAGGAGGCATGCCCCCTGCACGTGTCTGTACGTACCTTCAGTGCTTGAAGGTCCACAGTCTTCCAGGAGCCCCCAGAAGTGGTGCCCTACGAGGGGAAAGCCAGCTTGAGTGGCACCGAGGAAGGTTCTCCAAGGCTGAACACCCCTGCCCCACCCCCCACCACGGTGCTGCACGCACGGCACACCTGGTCAACTCTGGGCAAAAGTCTCTCTCCTCCTTCCAACTGTGCCCAACACAACGGCTGCTGGCGCCAGAGGCTGCCACGTGCCCCTTCACCACCTGTCTGGACAGTCAGGGCTCTCGGGACTGCCAGACTGGGGGCTGGGGGCTGGCAGCGGCCCCAGTGGAGACAGCCCGGAGCCCCTCCTGCCTGCCACCTCCCTAGAAATAGCTGCCTCCATATTAACCCGCTCTCCTGCCCCCTCCAACTCTCTCCCACCCCTGAGTCAGCTTCCCAGGAGTGAGGGCTGAGGACAGCCCTGGGCTTGGGATCAGACAGATGGTGGAGGTTTTGTCACAGGACCGGGGCCTTGAGCAACAACTTAACCTCACTGCAAAGCAGGGGACCCAGGAACGCCCTCCTCCTCCCAGGCTCAGGGGGTGGCGGGGGTCAAGCGAGGAGAGCGCCTGGCACCTTCGCCTGGGGCGGGAAGGCAGATTGTTGTGGGGTGGAGCGGTGGGGGGCGGGGAGGCAGCTGCCCATATGGTGAATCCTGGTCCTGCTCACCCAACTGGATGGTCCCTGCAGCCACAGGCAGAGGGAGATCGCAGCCAGCTCCGGCCAGGCCCAGTCCCGCCCACATAGGGGAGGCCCCAGCCTTGTCCCTCCCTGGGGGTGTACCTCCAAGTACCTCTCGTCAGCTGCAGCGCCCCTCGGCCCTAAGAGTGCTTGGCCCAGCGGAGGTGCCTTCACCTTCTTGCTTCCCAAGCAGTGGCCTGGCCGGAACCCCAGGCCTCCCCCGCCCCCTGGCCTCGCTGCCAGCCCCGTGTCGCCGCCCAGGATCTGGGCGGAGCGTACCGCCCACCGCCGCGGCTTCTTGGCCAGCTCAGTGGGGGCTTCTAGGCCAGCCCAGTGGGCAGCTCCCTCTGAGGGTGGCAGAGCAGGGCTGTCAACCCCATGCCCCATTACCCGTAGGCGACCTGGCAGTCAACCTCCCGCTCCAACCCTCATTTCCTCATCTCTGAAACAGAGGCCTCAGGGTTGCTGCAGTGAACCCAGGCACCCCTGCCTGCTGGAGCCTGCCTGAGCTCCCCACGCCCAAAAGGAGCTATGCACAGGCAGGGTGGGCAGGAAAAGCGGGGTCGGCAGCAGCTTGGGCCAGGGGCCTGTCCATTGCAGGGAGGCTCCTTTGGTGAGGTCATCTCAGCACATGTCCCAGTTTGCTCACCCCCAGGGACAGGGCACTCGCTGCCTTCAGAGGCGGGTGAGAAGGCCTGGGTCAGCTTCCCAGGGACAGGGGCTCCGGTTCTGTCTGTGTCGTGCTCTCCTGAGCTCCCAGATCCCTCCCGTGTTTGGGGAGAGGCCCAGGAGCCACTGGCTCTTTTACTGCACAGTACGTAGGCCCCAGGGCAGGGATTCCAACCTCCAGTGACTGTTGGGGACAGCAGTGCTCAGGGAGGGGGCCGCACAGCAAGCTGGTGGGGGAGGCAGACTGGATGCTGCAGCCTGACTCTGGGCTGGGGCAAGTCACCCATTCCCAGGCAGAAGTGGACACCCAGAAGAGGGGTGCGGAGGAAATCCAGAAAGAAATCCAGAAGGAATACACCTTTGGGTCAGGCGCGGTGGCTCACACCTGCAATCCCAGCACTTTGGGAGGCCGAGACGGGCGGATCACGAGGTCAGGAGATCGAGACCATTCTGGTTAACACTGTGAAACCCCGTCTCTACTAAAAAATACAAAAAACTAGCCGGGCGAGGTGGCGGGCGCCTGTAGTCCCAGCTACTCGGGAGGCTGAGGCAGGAGAATGGCGAGAACCCAGGAGGCGGAGCTTGCAGTGAGCTGAGATCCGGCCACTGCACTGCAGCCTGGGCGGCAGAGCGAGACTCTGTCTCAAAAAAGAATACACCTCTGGATGCCCAAAGAATCAGAACAGGTGCTGATGTAAAGTAAGATCTCCTCTTCGCACTGGATCAAAGATGGGTATTTCAATGGCAGTCTGTTAACACTGTAGTGATGCCAGCTGCCAACACCGGAAGTGATCATATACTAAACCGCTGTAATTAATACCAATCAAATCGTTGTGTTCTTATTCGCACCGAGGATGCCCGACTGTCTTGCTGCCAGCTTGTCTATCCTCTACATTTACTGAATGCCTAATGTATGCAAAGCACTGCTGGGAAACCGATAGTGACATCTAACCGATAGATCCAGCCCCTGCCCTCGAGGGGCTCAGGGTCCACGAAGCAGACAGATCCAGGGAGAGGCACGACACCACGAGGCTGGCTTCCTTCCAGCAGGGGAATCCCAGGAGGACCTCTTAGAGGAGGGGGCCTGGGCTCTGGGCCTGACCACGTGCTGACACCATTCTCAGTCCATGCCTCAAAGGCAAAGGGCCCACTGGCTTAGGCCCCTGGCTGCCTAGTGGAAAGCCGGCCCCACCAGTTTGAGGCTTGCCTGGGGTGGTGTGGGGGTCCTGGGGCAGAGGACCTCCTCTTCAGATGGTGTGGCTTGCCCAGCGGCCTGAGCTAGGGCTGTGCTCACCCAACAGGGTGACAAACAAGCTCAAGAGGGCAAGGAAGGAGTATGGCCCAAGTTCTCCCAGGAGCCCTGGAGGTGCAGGTGCATGGGAGAGAGACACAGCAAACACCACAGCCCCAGGGCAGTGGCCAGGTACCCCACACCTCTCCTGTCCCTGCACTCAAAGACAAGCGGCAGCTGTTGCAAAACTCTTACAAGCCAAGAGGGCAGCACAGTGACCCTGCACTTTGGACAAGGGGTGGTGGCGGGGGGCCGGCCCTGACCTGTTAGCTGTCTGTTAGCATCATAGGATTTTCATCCAGCAGGGCCTGTTAGCACCCAGCTCAGGTCTGGGAGAGGTGGAAAAGCTGTCTCCCCCTCTGGGGGACTAGTAGTCACAGCTCTGGAGGGGCCAGAGTTGGGACAAGGAGGCCAAGACAAGGTCCTGTATGATCTCGGGCTGGTCTCATCACCTCTCACTTTGCTGAGACTTAGTTTTCCCATCTTGGAACCAGAGGTTAGAAGCCCTGCCATGTCAGTTTCACAGAAGCCTTGTAAATTTCCCTGAGTAAATTTCCCCCAGTCTGGCTCTAGACCACACCAACAGAGGGGCTACCACCTCAAAGAAGTCACCTCCACCAGGGATAAAATCCACTTGATCATGGTGCATGATCTTTTTAATGTGCTGTTGAATTTGGTTTGCTAATATTTTGGTGGGGATTTTTGCATCTCTGTTCATCAAGGATATTGGCCCATAATTTTCTTTTCTTGTAATGTCCTTGTCTGGCTTTGGTATCAGGGTAATTCTGACTTCATGAAATGAGTTTGGAAGTGTTCCTTCCTCTTGAATTTTTTGGAAGAGTTTGAGAAGAATCAGCATTAATTCTTTCTTAAATGCTTGGCGGAATTCACCAGCAAAGAAATCAGATATCTTGGGCTATTATTTTTTGGGAGGCGTTTGATTACCGATTCAATCTCCTTACTCATTATTGGTCTGTTCAGATTTTCTAGTTTTTGTTTGTTTGTTTTGTTTTTTGTGTGTGGTTTTTTTTTTTTTTTTTTTTTGTTTTTGAGGTGGAGTCTTGCTCCCATCATGCAGGCTGGATCTCAGCTCACTGTAATCTCCACCTCCCAAGTTCAAGTGATTCTCCTTCCTCAGCCTCCTGAGTAGCTGGGATTACAGGTTGCACCACCACGCCTGGCCAATTTTTGTATTTTTAGTAGAGACGGGGTTTTGCCATGTTGGCCAGGCTGGTCTCCTGACTTCTGGTGATCCACCCGCCTCGGCCTCCCAAAGTGCTAGGACTACAGGCGTGAGTCACTGTGCCCTGTCCAATTTTCTAGTTTTTTTGTGAATCAGTCTTGGTTGGCTGTCTGCTTCCAGCAATTTATTCATTTCTAGGTTATCCAATTTGTTGGCATAGTTGTCTATTATAATCTCGTATATTTCTTTGGTATCAGTTGTAATCTTTCCTCTTTCACTTATAATTTTATTATTTATCTGAGTCTTTTTTTTTTTTTAGTCTAGCCTAAGGTTTGTGGGTTTTGTTAACCTTTTCAAAAAAAACTCAACTCTTAGCTTTGTTGATCCTGTCTCTTGTTTCTTAAGTCTGTATTTCATTTATTTCTGCTCTGATCTTTCTTTCTTTCCTTCTGCTAACTTTGGGCTTAATTTGTTCCTCATTTTATAGTTCCTTGAGGTGTGAAGTTAGGTTTTTTATTTCAGATCATTCTTAATGTAGGCATTTATTCCTCTAAACTTCCCATCTAGAATCACTTTTGCTGCATGCTATGAGGTTTGGTGGTAGTGTTTCCATTTTCATTTGCCTCAAGGTATTATTTTATTTCCCTTTTGATTTCATATTCCACTCATTAGTTGTTCAGGAGTGTGTTGTTAAATTTCCACATATGTGTAAAATTTCCACTTTTCCTCCTGTTATTGATTTCTAGTTTTATACCATTGTGGTTGGAAACGATACTTGATATGATTTCAGTCTTCTTAAATGTGTTAAGACTTGTTTTGGGCCGGGCGCGGTGGCTAAAGCCTGTAATCCCAGCACTTTGGGAGGCCGAGACGGGCGGATCACGAGGTCAGGAGATCGAGACCATCCTGGCTAACACGGTGAAACCCAGTCTCTACTGAAAAATACAAAAACAACTAGCCGGGCGAGGTGGCGGGCACCTGTAGTCCCGGCTACTCAGGAGGCTGAGGCAGGAGAATGGCATAAACCCGGGAGGCAGAGCTCACAGTGAGCTGAGATCCGGCCACTGCACTCCAGCCTGGGCGGCAGAGCGAGACTCCATCTCAAAAAAAAAAAAAAAAAAAAAGACTTGTTTTGTGAGCTAACATAGGATCTTTCCTGGAGAATGTTCCATGTGCACTTTACAAGAATGTGTGTTCTGCTGCCATTGGATGGAATGTTCTGAATCTATCTGTTAGGGCCATTTGGTCTGTAATGTTGCTCAAGTCTCCTGTTTTCTTATTGATTTTCCAGCTGGATAATCTGTCTACTGTTTAAAGTGTTGAAGTCCTCTACGATTATCGTAATCTATTTTCCCTTCAGTTATGTTAATATTTGCTTTACATAGTTGGGTGCTCCCATGTTGGGTATATATATATATATATGTATATATGCGTGTGTATATATATGTATATATGTTTATATGTGTGTGTGTGTGTGTGTGTATATATATATATATATTTTTTTTTTTTTGAGACAGAGTCTTGCTCTGTCACCCAAGCTGGAGTGTCGTGGCACGATCTCGGCTCACTGCCACCTCTGCTTCTCTGGTTCAAGTGATTCTTCTGTCTCAGCCTCCTGAGTAGCGGGGACTACAGGTGCATGACACCACACCCAGCTAATTTTTGTATTTTTTTAGTAGAGACAGAGTTTCACCACATTGGCCAGTCTGGTCTCAAGCTCCTGACCTCATGATCCATCTGCCTCGACCTACCAAAGTGCTGGGATTATAGGCGTAAGCCACCACGCCTGGCCTAGTATGTATATTTTTTGAATTGTTATATCCTCTTGATGAATTGATCCATTTATCATTATATGACAACTGTCTTTGTCTCTTGGGACAGTTTTGATTTAAAATCTATTTTGTCTGATATAAGTGTAGCCACTTATGTTCTCTTTTGCTTCCCATTTGGATAGAATAACACTTTTCAGCTTATCTATGTCCTTAAAGCTAAACCAAGTATCTTGTAAGCAGCATATAGTCGGATTTTGTTTTGTTTTTTAATCCATTCAGCTGCTTAGTGGCTTCTGAGTAGATAATT